CCTTGCGCTGGAAGGCCTCCTGCAAGTCCCGCAGTCGCAGGCGCACCACCCCCTGGCGGCGGCTGTGGCTCAGCACCAACGGCGCCCAGAAGCCCATCTTGCTGTCCCAGTCGGTGCTGTTCACCTCGCGACTCCTTTTGAAGGCGGAGAACAGGAAGGACATGCGCTCCTCGTCCTCCTCCCACTCGGGGGGCAGTAGGCCCGCCGGGTCTCCCCCGGCCGGGACTTCGGCCTCCCGCTCCGGGGACCACATCGGAACCCCAGCCCCGCCAAGACTCCGAACACCAGCCTGGCCCGGGTCCCCTTTCGCCCTCGTTCCCTCCCGGCTTCCGTTCTTTGACCACCGCCTCCTCTGTCATTACGTCACCGTCTCCCCGCGGGAAATAAGTCTCACACGTCCTCACGGCGCATGCGTGGCCCCGCCCCCTCTGCGCCTAGAAGCGGAATGATGACTCTATTTGCCTGGCCCGACCCCCCGCCGTCTTTGTGAGGAAAGAAAAGCTTTGCGCCTGCGTAGCGTGCAGGTGCGTAGAGCGCACCCTTGAGCCGTGGTTTGTGGGAGCATTTAATGGAGGAAAATGATAATGGCTCCACCTTGTGGTTTCGGATAGTGGAACCGCAGTCCCGCTAAGGGGCGCCAGAGGCGCTCGGATGGCCCCGGTGGATCGCCGTTTACCGCGGCTCGACCACCTACCTTCAGATGTTTAAACCCAGCCTACTGCACTTCCTTTCCTGGAGGTCGCCGGTCAGCGGGCCACCCCGCCGTGACAGTGCACACGCTGACTGAACCCACTGCACTTCCTTTCCCGGAGGTCGGCGGTCGGTCGGCGGGCCACCCCGCCGTGACAGTGCACACGCTGACTGAGAGGTATGTTAGCTTCGGCTACTCTTACTGCTGGCGGTGTAAGAAACGTCCAAACATACAGAAAATTTTTCCGAGTTTATTTGAGCCAGACTGACAATTGCCTGGAAGCAAAATCTTAACGGAATGAGAAAGTGCTTCAGGGAATGGCAGTTTTGCGATTTGTTTTATCAAAGGAGGAGGCACAAGGAGGGTTACATGGTGGTAGGTCAGGGAGGCGGGAGAAAGCAAAGCAGGGAAATCTCAGCGTGGATACAACAGCGGTTCTCAACCTGTGGGTCGCGACCCCTTTGGCGGTCGAACGACCCTTTCACAGGGGTCGCCTAAGACCATCCCGCATATCAGATATTTACATTACGATTCATAACAGTAGCAACATTACAGTTATGAAGTAGCAACGAAAATAATTTTATGGTTGGGTCACAACATGAGGAACTGTATTTAAAGGGCCAGAAGGTTGAGAACCACTGGGTTAAAATGAAGAGACAAATACTTCTGTTAACATTGGCGGATACAGGATGGTTAACAATTGATATTTACAGCACATACAGACGGTATTTGGGCAGCAAGATAATGATGAGGGGTTCGGTGGTCTCATGCACTGGTGGGAGATTGCACCCCGAGAGTCTGGGGAAAAGGGGGTTACTCTGACTTTCCAAAGGTGTGTTAAGGCACATGCAAAAAGACAAGAGGCCCAGTTAGGATAAAGATTGACCTCTTCAAGGGAGACACCAGCCTAGGTGTAAGTACTCACCATGACTCGCTTTTAGTTAAGTTTTAAGTTCAGACCGTCCCATATGCTTACTTTCAGCCTCTGAGTTTGTAAGGCTGCCATGCAGGCCTCCCTGAGTTTGCCAGGTTAATATTGTCCACACTCCCTACTGCATGTGTTTCCTTCTCAGTGTCAATATTCTGCTCCCTTAGGCTGGAGCTCAGTTCTAATCTTCCTTGAAACCTTGGACAGTCCTGACGCACTGTTGGTCTTTTTCCTGGGCTGTACAGTTTAGCACTTACTATTCTGTGTCCTGTTCCCTCTTCCCCGAGGGAAGGTGCAATGACTGCTGACATATATCTTGCTATGACATATAGTGGTGCTGAAGAAATAATGTCATAAACGGAAAAGTGCATAACTTCAACCTCGCCCTTCTAATATCTTAGAACTGTGTTAGAATGAGAGCTCATATGTATAAGATTCTCACAAACAACGTATGAGCAATGAACGTGTGTCCAGTGTGTGAAGGATAAATTGATTTTCTTTTTCGTTGAACTTTTTAAAAGGTGAAAGGGATTTGTTTAATGGAACCATGTAACAGCCACCAGAGTTGAATATGAATCTGGCCTCTGCCGCTCTCTGACTGTGTGACCCTGGAGATAAAATAAATAAACAAACCAGAAGGTAGAGGAATATGTTAAATGAAACCTGAGATTGCAATCAGCAAGTCCAGACTCTGGAATTCTACTAGATAATGACCTTGTTTCCTCAACAAATAATGGCAAAAAAGAGACTTTAATGGGCAACGTTATTGCATGTGATTTGGATCTAACGTGCACAAACAATAAAAAATTGTCTATGATAATTAGATACTTTCAATATTAGCTAGATATTAGTGAATTACATTGAACACAGTGATATGGTGGCTTTGTCTTATTATGTTTTGAAGATACATCTAAAATATTTTTGAGTAAAATTGTATGATATTTGGGGCAGGAAGTTGGGGGACCATAGAGAAATATCAATGAGTATAAATTTCATACTCTGTACTCAGCACTCAGCACTTAGATATCATTCAGTTGTTTTAATGAATAAATAAATGACCTTGCCCAGCCAGTGTGGCTCAGTGGTTGAGCATTGACCCATGAACCAGGAGGTCATGGTTCAATTCCTGGTCAGGGCACAAGCCCAAGTTTCAGGCTCAATCCCCAGTAGGGGACATAAAGGAGGGAGCCGATCAATGATTCTCTCTGATCGATGTTTCTGTCTCTCTCTCTCCCTCTCTCTGAAATCAATAAAAACATATATATATTTTTAAAGAAATGACCTAGATCCACATTCTGGTTTCATCTCTCTTAATAAATAAGCTGCATGACCTCAGGCCAATTTCCTCTCAGAGGCCTCCGCTGTGAATGAAAGGTTTCTGCACTATGATCTTGAGGGTTTTTTCTAGCACCCACTCTCTAATTCCAAATTAAGATCTACTGTAGATGTGTAGACTGCAGGAGCTCTGGAGCGTTCAAAGAACAAAATGTCACATCACCGTATTGTGACAGTGGTATTTATTTGCTGATGCCCCAACGTGTTTTTGGTCAGACACCTACGCAGCCTCACTCCAGCCATCATGCACAAACTTGTCTGAGGGTTCAAACACCGCAGTACTTCTGTAAAGCTGCACGATGCTCCGTGTCCTCTCTCCTGCTTGCTGGGGATGCCTCACCATCTTTACAGAAATATGCATTCCCTGTCACATTATCCAGTTATTTCTATTTCTTATCTCTAGGAGTTACAGCCTTAGGACTTGGCTAAAGGAGGAATGAGACAAAAAATACATTGTACATAATCTATGAGATATAGAGGAGAAGAAGCTGGGCTTGTTAATATTCAGGCACCACTGTGTTCTGGAAGCCTTTCCTCCTCCTGCTCCAGGCTGGATTCGATGTCCTTCCTTTTCTTTCTACCACCTTGTATAACTCTCTGTCATTTTATGTGCCACATTATTTTCTGTTTCCATTTATGAGCCTGTCTCTCTGACTAGCTTAAGAGACTTGTTGGCAGAAACAGTGTTCTTAATTTTGTGTCTAGCACAGTGCCTGGTACATCCTAAGGATTCAGTTTGTTGAATGAATGAATGAATTTAATTAATCAAACTATGAGTGAAGAAGTAATTCCATCAAGGCCTATCCTTTTTCCTAAGAACACTTATCCTATCTAATAAAAGCCTAATATGCTAAGTGTCCGGTCTTCCGGTCAGCTGTTCAATCAATCAAAGTGTAATATGATAATGATATGCTAAGTCTGCTCAACTGCTCGCTATGACGTGCACTGAGCACCAGTGGGCAGATGCTCCAACCAGTAGGTTAGCTTGCTGCTGGGGTCTGGCCGATCAGGGATCAGGACGAAGTGAGACGGGTCGGACACACCCTGGAGCCCTCCCGCGGTCCCTCCCTGGCTGGCCAACCTCCCGCGTCCCTCCCAGCCCCGATCATGCACTGGTGGGTCCCTTGGCCTGGCCTGCACCCTCTTGCAATCTGTGACCCCTTGGGGGAGGTCAGAGAGCTGGTTTTGTCCCGATCCTGCAGGCCAGGCCAAGGGACCCCACTGGTGCACTAATTCATGCACCCGTTCTCTAGTCTAAATATAATACGCTAATAAAATAGTTGAAACTTTTACTTATTTGAATGATTTATTTTATTTTAGCTGTTTTGAGATGAAATGCCTCTAAATTTAATTGCCTACTGAGTGGTTAGAGCAATCACAGATGTGGGAAATTCTCTTGCTTATTTTTCCAAAGCATTTAAACCACAGGAAGCTGGTGCTGTCTATCCATTCACGACCACAATCTTTTAGGATTACCCAGTCAGTGACCATTTGTGAAATTGTCCAATTTCACCCCAAAGAATTTACCCTTCTTTGATTTTACTGTCTTCTCTTCCACTCTTCACTTTTTGCTCTTTATTTTCAGTCCAGCATGTGAGTAACTTTGAAGTTGTCACTCTGTCCTAACCAGTAATAAGTTGAACAAACTAAAATTCAATAACTCTTGCCCTACCAGTGTGGCTCAGTGGTTAAGCGTCAACTAATCGAACATCACTGTTTGATTCCTGGTCAGGGCACATGCCCAGGTTTTGGGCTTGATCCCCAGTTAGGAAGCATGCAGGAGGCAGCCAATCAAAGATTCTCTCCCATCATTGATGTTTCTATCTCTCTTTTCCTCTCCCTTCCTCTCTGAAATCAATTTAAAATATATATATATACTAGTGGCCCGGTGCATGAAATTCGTGCACGGGGGAGGGTATGTTCCTCAGCCTGGCCTGCACCCTCTCCAATTTGGGACCCCTCGAAGGATGTCCTACTGCCAGTTTACAGGGATCGGGCCTAAACCGGCAGTCAGACATCCCTCTCGCAATCCAGGACTGCTGGCTCCTAACCACTCACCTGCCTGCCTGCCTGCCTGATTGCCTCTAACCACTCTGCCTGCCG